CCTTATTGAATTGTTCAGCCTACCAGAATCAACAATTGAGGGTAATGTTAAAATTTCGAAAAATAAAAAGAATAAAAATAAAAATAAAAATTTGGCCAGTAATAAAAATAAGTTATATGAACTAAAAATTGAAAAGAGTTTTAACGAACATAAATTAACAAAGTTAAGGAAACCAAAATTAATTCGTGAAAATACTAAGAATAAAAATTCTACAATAAAATTTGATAAAAATAAAATAATTAGTAACAAAGTTAATTTAGAAAAAACTAAACAAGTAAGTTATCCCCCTTTTGGACAAAATAATAGACAAATTTCGGACAAGGAAAATAAACTAGGTAAAACTATTAAACCAGGAAAAACAATTTGGAAACGAAAACGTTATAAAATACAAAATTACAATGACCGAAATTGGAAGAAAAGAAAGAAAAAGGAATTTTGCGTATACCCCCTAATCTAATTCAAATAATTTCTAACTTAAAATAACATAATTCATTCAGTGACAAAATTAAAACCAATAGACATTATAGACAGACATATTACTAGTAATGACACATTTGATTTAATTATTGACAGATTATTAGTTAATGACTATGTTAATAACCCTATGGTTATGAATCTTTCTCTATGAAACCCTATGGATCTTTCTCTATGAAAGAGAACGAAAATTCTATATCAAAAAATAAATTCTGACCTAATTGAAAATAAAATTAGACTTTTACAAAAAATTAACAAAGATCGAGAAAATCCTGAAATATTTAAACCAGATCAAAAAGTTTACGTTAAAAATATACAAAAATCCAAAAATTCAAATAAATTTGAAAAACCCGTCCCTGTTACAAGTGTTAATGAAAATCGTAAAACTATCACAACAGATAAACACGGAAAAGTGCATATGGACAATTTAAAACGACCACTGAGACGAATGTATTCATTTGACAATTGACCATTGTTTTTCAGACTACCCAGCATCCTTGGACTACAGGAAATGATAACGTTAAAAACACTTCAAGACAATCCAGGTCTTTTACCATTGAATTTAGGTCTTGCAAAGACAACAAAATATCATCACACAATAATCTATTATTTTGATTTGGAATGCATAATTGACGAATTTGAAAAATTAAAATTAAAATCCTCCAGTGTCGTAGATATTATCAACACAAATGAAATTTATGCCGAAGATATATCTAATTATATTAAAATTTTAAAATTCTCAGAAAACAAAATAGAAACCAAATTATCAGAACTTCTCCCTAAACCAGATAGATTTAAAAGAGGCCTTATTAATGGTCTTGGATCAATATTTAAAGCAATAAGTGGAAATTTAGATGCTTCAGATGGAGAAAGATATGAGAAACTTATTCAACAACTACAAAACAACCAAAATAAACTTTCCAAATCAATAAGGAATCAGAATTCTATAGCAAACGATTTAATTGATAAATTCAACAGCACTATTAGACAAATTTACCATAACGAAATCTTGTTAAATAACAGATTAAAATCTATAGAAAAAATTGTTAACGACACAGCTAATAGTAACAATAGCATTTATATAAAAGACATAATTAATCAAATCACAAATATGTATGAATTATTACTATCGATATTACAAGATGTAGAAAATTCGATAACTTTTGCAAAATTAGAGACTATACACCCCAGTATTATAAAAACTGAAGATTTGTTCAAAATCCTTCAAAATTTAAATATAGATAAAAATCAATTACCTATTGAATTAAAAAGAGACAAAATGTTATTGTTCGAAAAGCTTATTAAAATTTCATGTTATATTCTGGATAGTAAAATTACATATATCCTACATGTACCTATAATGAACCCACTCGAATTTAGTCTATTTCACCTCTACCCTATTCCTGTAAAGAGGGAGAGTCAGTTTAAAGTAATAATTCCTGAAAACAAATTTATGATAAAAAATAAATTGTACTATGCATACATGGACAAACCATGCATTAAATTGGCTTCACATCCATACATTTGCGGAAGAGTCAACCTACGAGAAATTGATGACCAACCCCCTTGCGAAATTCAAATGTTAGAGTTCAAACCAACAACCAACTGTCAACAATTACCGCTGAAAATAACAAGGCCAATATTTACAAAACTGGATGAATCCAACCAGTGGATAATACTCTTACCTTTCAAAACAACATTAAAACTAAGCTGTCAAACCCAAGAAGAAATAATTTATATAAACGGCACATATTTAACAGAAATCCCAGAGAATTGTAAATTATCAACAAGTAGTGAAACAATTACAAACGATATGTCAACAACTATTAAGGGACAACCAATACTTTTCCCAAATAGTATAATCACTCAAAAGACAGCAACAATAAATTCAGAAAATAAAGAAACCACCCTAAGAAAAATCAACTTAGATGAATTGGATACTTTGCGACAGAGAGTATTATCAAATAACCCGGAATTGACCACAGAGATGATTTCCAAGTCCCCCAGTTTTTGGACAATTTTACTTTATTGCCTATTGGTAATTATTTTGGGATACTTCATCACTAGAAATATAAGAAGACGACTGTCCAGACGAAAAACCAATCCAGATGCCATAGATCTTCAAGAAGTTCATCTTCCTTAGCTGTCGCCCTCGGAAGCTGAATCTCCCAGGGGAGGAATTATCTCACCTATATTGATGACTTCCATATTAAAATTGTGGAATAGACATATTATTGTTATAAATAGGATTGTTAGTGCTGCCGAGAGGCTTTTTGCTGCTTTTAGCCATTGTAGAACGTTAGTCCGTAAAATAAATTGTCGGTATTTTCAAGTTGTAGTAAATAGTAAAAAATAAAATTTTTTAAAAACGTATTTTCCGTGAGTGAAAAGTTAATTCTAGATAGAAACTAATGAAACGATTAGTCTGTGTGATATAATCACGCCATTTTTTCGAATAAATAAATTTATAGCATTAGACCATTAATCGAGAATTTCATAAAACTTTTGATCGTCAATTAAGCTTTCATTTGTCAGATGTTTTATGAAAAATGCATTAAAATAATAGCTTAATATTTTTGTTCCATTCGTTGAGTAGGTATATTTTTATTAATAATTCAAAACAATTTTTATTCCTGGTGTAAAGGCACCATTACAACTGTGATTTATAAATGCCACGCTAGATTCTAATGGCAATCTGTGAAAAAGAAATAATCGCAGTTGCAACAGGAATAAATAAAACGGATAAATTGTATTAATAAAACATCCATTTACTGCATTGAATTCGCATTGATGTGCAATTCTGCATTGCTAATAAGCCGCGATATCCGCGAGATGCAGTAAAAAATCGTTTTTATTATCATCTGCTTGAAATCTCATTGATTCCATAATGAGTGTTAACGACATTTCCCTGTTAAAATTGTAGCATCAAACGTGAAACAGCTCTCGTGTGCCTTCCATTATTATTACCTAATTGGCTCAATACTATACCTAACTGTACCCATTGTGACTGATTTCTTTCTTGCGTAAAAAAGAGGTCGTAACCAAACCGCAATTTTATTTTGAAAATTAAATGAGAATAGTAAAAGTGGCTAATCTCGTTGATTCTCACAAAAGGGACCTTTCGAAGGCCTTTTTTTCGTTCTTCATTCATCCGGAAAGTACCTGCAGATATCTTCTTTGTTCGATTTGTAGTAGTGACGGTTCGATTTGTGGATAGATAATCATTATTGGCTTTTTTGCACTGTTTGTCTTTTGATATAATAGTGGAAATGTAATTTTAGATATTTTTTTAGTTGGTAGAGTTCAAAATAAACCGGTCTGTCGACGAGATTTCCTCCTTTCATCGGCTAGACACTAGACTGAATCCGAGCAGGTAGAAAAGGGTGCACAACTAAATGAGGATATGTATGTCAACGCGTCTTTTTTCGAATCTGTCTAGCGAAAGATAAAACAGACATCACTAATGGAATTATAATACTATACCTACTTACAACAAATTGAATAGAATTTAATAAGAATAATTGAGATGAGACAATCCAGCAATTATTAGCAAATTCGTGAGGCAAGCCACAAGAATTTACAGAGGTATAATTACAATTAATAATCCTACTAACATGTTATGAAGCATCAATTTTAATAAAATTTAAATTCGAATTTCGTACGAAATGAGCTTTCCACTCAAAAAATTATGCAAATCAAATGGGATTTTTATTAAAATTTCAGTAGTCGATTTTATAATTGTTATATTTAAATTTCACTTACTCGCGATTTAAATTATAGGTTTTTTGTATGAATCGTAAACCAGTTCATTATAAACATTAATAATTGAATACAGTATCATACCTCAATATACAGTGAGCTCAGCGTTCCGGGAATCAGAAACTGTACTCAGGTGCTTTTAATTTCCGACTTCAGCAATTTTTGTATACACAGTAATTGAAAATTCAGCTTAATTTTCAGCCCGAGGCGTAGATTAACGGGGCAATATAAAAATCCGAAGAGAGCTGAATTCGATGAGAAAAAAATATCTGGGTTAATTTAAGTGTTTTATAACGACTGTATTAATTCAAACGTACACTTAATCGCCTCTTGAAAAACAAAATTCGAAACGCCTCATCGAAATCTGGCGTCTTTCATTTATCCGATTTTCTAGTTGAAAGACATTTCGGACAGCTTCGAGTGGACGCTTTCGTGATAATTGCCGAACATACTACATTCATCGTTTAATATAATTATTACAGTAACGCTATTAAATAGTTTAATAAGGTCATTTTGATGACTGTTATAATTTGAAATTATACAGGGTGTTGCAGAATAAAACGTGCAAGTTCTTCGTGACTATATCTCATATCATAATTGGCGTCTGTAGAACTTATTCGTTTGAGCAAGTTTCAGAATTATAATTAAGACTTAAACAACTCAATTGCATATTGCATCTCGAAAATTAGCGGATATGGATAGTTAGTAAATAATAATTTTCACAAATTTAGTAGGCTTTATATTGATTATTGTTCTTTTTGTTGCAGTGAAGTCGTATCAATCGCACGTCTACTCAGAAGATGCTTCCGTTTATTTTGCTTCCATGTAAGTAAACTCTTCAAATTAAATTTAATTTATTAATACAGTCTGTCTCTATTTTAATTAACTAATAATATCATTAAAGAAATTAACATTTAATCGTCTCATCGAAATCGAAACAATATTTAGATTAGATTGCATTAAATCGATATGCATCAAAACATTATGTCGTTTCATAATCAATTCCAAAATGTTTATTAAAAATTTCTAGCCATTGTTATCCAATTATGAAACGGAGGTCTGATCTGTTATAGGCAGATACTATCTCTTTACTCGACATTCAATCATTTGTTGCATGCAACGGTTTTTTTTCAAAATGGAAACGTCCTTAAGCTAACAATTTATACACCTTCGTAATTCATTTTTCATGATTATTAGATACTATCGCCTTAGGCCATTCAATATCATAATTCTATTTCGTATGATGGCGCACATCAAAGAACTTTCTTCTTTATAACTTATGAAATACATATAGAGTATTGCAACTTTATTATTTATTTAAAAAAACTCATCCTGTAAGTATTAAAATCTTGCCAGTCACGTTGTAAATTACCTAAAATATCCTACCTCAACAAATTTTACATTGAAATAAAATTCACCCCTTTCCCACAGCTTTCTCACCGAATACGAATGTACTTACACCGGTCTTTTCCGTTAATATATTTATCATAAAAACTAAATATATTATCTTAAATCCATTATTCTAAACCGATACACCGATGAAAAATGAATAAATCATTCGGTGTAGACAAATGCTTAAAGAGGCTGAAGATCTTCCTTTAAAACCCCATACCCTTTTGCGTATATGCATATGTGTTTGCATACATTTGCTGCGAAAGGGTTGGTGCAGTTCGTGTGAGAACACAGGTAAGAACAGGTAATGGCTTTGTTGCACAAAAGAAGTAAATCAACCTGATCCTCACGAGTCTATTCTGCGTTTAGATATTTTTGACTCTCCTTTGTCGAGCGACTGATGTGCACACAAGCTCTTTCTTTGTGATACAATTTATATTTAGGTGGTGGAGCAGTGGAGAACTTTATTTTTTTGTTCCGATCCGATAATATTTAAAAATAGTACGAACCTCAAGGTTTTTCGGTGGAGATAAATTTGTAAAACAAGGCGTGTTTGATGCCATGCAACAAACTGTAAAACCGTTAAAAAAATTTCGAATACAATTTAAGTTGACTTCTCGTACTCCCATTCGAGATTTTATCGAGTTTATGCTGAGCTGGTTAACTTCCTCTTTTCTAATCTGCGCGTTTGATCTGTAATATTTGGACATGCGGCCAACAAATATACTGACAAATTACCTCGTTATCAATTAAATACACGCGGACGAGGGAAAATATAAGCCAACTAAATTATTTTAATTTCAGTCATTTATATTCTAAAAATGCTACTTTTATGTACGCACCTTGAAAACTCGTACCTTCTATGTATTAATTTAATATATTGCCTAGTTTGCTGCATGCAATTAAATACAAAAACAATTAAGAAATTTGAAACTTTTAGTAATAGAGGTATTAAAAAGTGAGCAATACATTAAAGTTCTCTTGAAAGTACTTGGGAAATAAATTTGCCAATTAATCTCTACAATTGGCGGAAAAACTAGAATTAATCAACAAAAAGTAAACTAATTAAGATTAATATCCTTATCGTAGACCCACTAACTGCTCAGTATCACCGCAACTATTTGATACAGGTGAACATTTTTTCCAACTCGCATAATCACCATAGTGCATTAAGTCATTTATTAGGAAGGAGATATTGGGTTGACTTTTACATGTAAATTAACATTTTGATTAGTTTTATATTAATGAAATCCTTGAATGGTTTAATTAGAATATAACAATTTCGTTGCGTTTAAAAACTTACACGGTATCGTCCGTGTTAAGTAAGGAAACTCGTAAATGTTGCATATCGAACGGATTATCATAAAATAGCAATTAATTTGCATGCTAGTTGAAACAAAGATTTTTTTATTAATGGGTTTGTTTTTTTTCATGCGGTTAAAAGTTGATGGGTAGTTCTTTATACAATTTGTCTGTCCATATGATGGCATAGATTGTTATTATAGAGACACATTATGTAATTTTTTGAATTTAATGAGCATTCAAATGTGTACAGGCTCTATACATACATATGTTTATCACATATTCAATACTCATTTGTTATAGTAAGAAATATTTTACCGACAATATATTTTGTTTCTAATTATTTTTTAACAATTTTCTTAAAAACTAGTACGATTATTTAAAAAATAACTGAATATAGAAGCTTTTATTCAAAAACCCTTTTACATGTACATGAAAACCCGCTATAAATTTAATCGACCATACAAAATGCAACAATGTCAACTCGCCAATTAATTACAGGAACACGTCTTAATTTAAATGTAATAAGTTCCGCTCCCTTTAAAACTCAACTGTAGAAATGACCCTTAATTCGACCATCAAATTTCCTAAATTAATTTGACCACATGTCGTCGTACGATTCTCAAACGTTGACATATAATTTTCTTTGAATTAACTAAAATTCGCCGTCGACTGTAGAGGTAAACAAAAAAAATAGGCGCTCTCACAAAGAACACATACCATAAAGTAAAGTGTTGTCTACTTTCTTGCGCGTTTCTCATCAATGGGACCTTTTGATGGATGGGAAAACGTTATGTGTTTGTTCACACTAGTCATAATTCGAAGGAGAGACAATGGGTGCTTAGTTTAAATGGTTGATGATAAAACGAGCAAGTATGCATTATACGTAATAGAGGAACAAATCCAGCATTTATACAACTCTCGAATAGAGCTGTTTAAAGATAATAATAAAATGTAGGATATTTTAGCACGTTTAATTAACGTGGTACATCATTCCTTTAGTATTGTTAAATGCTTAGTTAGGTATACTACTACATATTATGTAGAATAGGTAGAAACAAAAAATTAAACACAAAATTGTATTACGTTGTTTCGACTTTTTTTCTTTTAAAGCCAACATAAAGATTTACGAAGCGTGTTTTTAAAACGAATTCTTTTATGAAATATACGCCGGATATGCCGTATAAAATATGTATAACTGCTTCATATACATTCTCGAATTCACCCACACGTACATAAACTATTTTCGTTGAATCCGTTGAATGGAAACAAATACAACCCCCGACAAAAACCAGAAAATACAGTGTTTCATTGGCTGCGAATAAGTTGAACATTCAACCCTATATTACACATTTGTAGGAAGCTCATTGTATATTACCCTTAACAGTATCGATTAGGCCAATGCCCCCCTCGTTGAAGAATTTTAGATCATTATGGACAAGTGATTTGGGCGGGTTGGGAAATATACAACATACTACTATTTTCAAGGTTTGCATGAAACATTTTACTTTTTTCTCCCAATGTAATGGTGGGTGAAATAACCGTAATAAAAATGAATAAATTAAAGCCGTTCGTGCATTAGATATCTTTGCACTTGATATTATACATCAAATCGATGTTTCTTGGAATTTACCAAATTTTCCATTTTTGATGCTATTTCTCAAGTTTCAGGGAGCGTTTTATAATGGTATGTATTGTAAATCGAGGTACCTATATCTTTTAATTAAATTTTACTATCTTAATAATATTCATATTCGTTTTTCTTTGATACTTACACGAATTCTTAATTTCAATTTTTATATAGAAGTTATTATACGGTTTTAGGCTTTGTTAATTTTTTTATGCTTTTTTTACGATCGCTATAAAATTAATTTATGTACCAGTGATTAATTAGTCATGAAATCTCCCTGGAAGGTGGTTGCATTTTTATATATTTGACGTTTTTATTGCGGGAATTAAAGTAGATTCGATCTTTGAACGGGTCACGAATATTCCTATTCTATTCTGCGCGGAGGTTTTTATTTTGCAAATGAGCGCAGGAGAAGAATAAATTTATATTGTTACTCAGGTTGGTAGACAAATTTACGATGGGAATTCACAGGGTGTGAAGTAAAAACGTCTGAGTAATTAGGATTAATTATAAAAAAATTGTGGCACTATAGGTAGTATTATAATATAATCCGTTTCGTTGTGTATAGCTGAGTTGTGTTTCAGGTAACAGAAAATTTGCCCTAAAAAATGAAAGTAAAGAATTTTGACCTTATGTCGATGTACCCTAAAGACGCTCAGTTCCGTTTTCGTTCCACAGGTAAAAAAATTCTTCGACTTGATCGTCGCATTCTTGAAGGAAAGGGTAATATATCGTGCACCTGGTCTCATCTGGTTTTAGTAGGTCAACATATTTCGACCGCCTTTTTATTCTTTTTTTTTTTCGTTTTTTGTTTGAAAAAAAAACACCGCCTATTTTGTTTTCTAACGCCAGGTGCCCACGATTATAATCATCGAGCATTTTTAATGAAAATTTTTGGCAGCGAACGAAAACGCCTTAAACGCATTATAATTGGCCGCTAATTCATTCTAATGGTGTATTATTTAGATCAAAAGGTGAAAAAATATAGGCCTTTAGATAGGCGTTTTGAATGGGTTAATTAACTTTATTATTAGGTACGCACTTACACTTTTATTTCCAGTCAGTTTAAAATACACCCGAGTATACCTAATCCTTTCATTGCAATCGATAATATTGGGAAATAAGTCACTATTTATAATACTACGTAACAATGTTGAGTTTGTAAATTGCATTCAAACGTACGAAAATCTATTTTAGAATCATGATGAACGATAATAGGTCAATTATTTAACAGTTGTTTTTCATCATAATACTATGTCGCAACGTATTTTTTATCAACCAAAATAATTTTACCTACGCACTGCTTAAAATTCAACAAAAATTACACACATTTCATTGTCAACGACCTCAGATAACATCTTTTTCGCTCCGTATGTACCATTTTCGTATGCGTTGATCTCTTTACTACGCGAACAACACAGGATCCTGCAAATTTACGGGCTATTATGTTTATTAGCTGGAACGAGCGCATTGTAAATGACTGCTGTATAAAGACAAAGAACAGTTGGTGTGGTAAATTAAATAAAAAAGTCAAATAAAAAGAATCTAAACTTCTGATATTTCATATTGCATCGCTCTCGCCGTCGGAGCGTTTTGCGCCTGATATCCTTTTAATCACTTAATCGAGATAATTTACAACAGGATTTACGTTAAGAGAAACGCCGATGTTATCGCAAAAATTGCGCGACGCGGCAATTACACTCGCAAGAGAAAAAATCATTGTGCTGATTATATTAAAATGAATAAGCTCGTTAAGTTGTTGCGTGAATTGTTAACTTTTTCACACAAATTTATTTCCTTTTGATATTCAAATTATTCGTAATGCAGTATTTATGAGTTCGGATATTTTTTGTTACACACTTAATGCATAAAGGTTCATTAGTAATACGCGCAATGAAAAAAAAAATAAGTGACCGCTATTAAAAAGTCAATTAACGTATTTCCTTACCGCGCTAACTATATCTATCTACCAATCGTCCGGCGCGCCTTTTTTATTAAAAACTTCAACGCTATAAAATATCGCTTTATGCGCTATCGAATTAAGTATACGGTACGCGCGCATTCTTATTTCCACTTAAAGAATTACCATTACGGTCAAACAATTCCGGACTTATGTGTGTCGCGACACGTCCAAGGAAGAATGAAAAGCTTCCAGACGCCCCGCTAATGAATTTTCTCCTCTAATGCATACAAACGACGTCTATTAAAAAAACATATTCCACATAGCTCAGCGTGCCAACAGGCGTATTTACGACCTCGGTTATAATGTGACTGCAACGCTACAATGACAATTCGTTATTTATCGATCGATCGTAAAAAATATCAGTCACATTCTGATGTACCTATACGCACGTATCAATTCGTATGCTTCGAGAAAGTAAATGTACGATGATTTCGACGGGATGATAAGAATTTTGTATTGTTTAATGATACCAAAATGCCTGAATGCATGTTTTAAGACAAGTAAGAGAACTGCAAAAAGCGGAACCACCACAATTTTAAAGAAACCATATCCTAAGAGAAAAAATTAAAATAAAGCTATATAAGGGCCAATGAGACTGATCCGATATTTTTTCATATATCTAATTTTTTAGATAGAATCCAGATTCGAACAGAACTCAAAGAATTATAGGGTTTACAAAAACCAAAGTCGGAATTTTAGCAATTTAGATTTTCGATATGCATAATTGATAGTTTTATAATATTTGTCCCAATTTGTCTACTATATTTCCTTTTTAGGTTAGTGAATCATGCGGGAACAAACATTAGCCTCACTACAGGAAAATAATTGCGCCGGCCAATTTATCATATAGGCATGATATAAATTTCAAAATCGACTTCTAGGAATGCGTACGGACTGCTTATGGTATTTCTAATCGTTCGGGCGGCTCTTTAACGCGAGCTATGTAATGAGTAAATAAGATAAATAGTACGACAAGCACGGTAAATTAAAATGGCACGCATATCATAGTCAATGAGGTGTAGAGTCGGTACTTAATTCGCGCCCCTTAAAAATCAGCTTGAGATATGGCCCTCCGGGGGGGCCAGAGAATATGATGGCTTCAAATGGTATAGAAGGCACACCCTAGATTAGATCTCTCACTATAATATCTTTGATGTTTTTCATCTCAATTCGCGAAAGTGTAAAAACCGTATCTTTCCATACTTGCAATATAACATGCTATATCGACATTTCGAAGCGAATTTTCAACGTTGCGACGAATATCCAGTCACGAGACGACGAGGACGTGATTGCATCCAGTGTTACAAGTCATGGATGTTGAGATAAAACCTCTTCGGGGCCCTAATTGGTACCATTAAACTATTAAAACCAATTTGCGAGGGTAACAAAATCGTAGCTTCATCGGTACTCGCTGCTTGATTTATTTTTCGCCACAGGGCCGTATTCGTTTCGGAAGGTGGTTGCTTTTATAATATGCAAAATTTATTCATACAATGTATTCGTATAACAAAAAAAATTTGGAAAGTATAGGTAATTATGTTTTGTTATCTTATGCCAAAATTCAACATATTTTTCTGGGGTGCCATGATCGGTAGAAGATATCAACACCATGTATAAGTTTGTTTCATCGTTAATAATTATGCTACTTGTCCTATATGAAATTAGCAGATGTATCCATCATTAATAGGAGGCATTAAATTGTTAACAACTTCGAATTTATAGTAGAATCTAATGCTAATACATCCATTCAAAACTACGAAGAGCGTATAATAACAATTCGAATTATTGCTAGGAAAATACTTAAAATAACTGCCTGCTAGGTCTGTTAGTTATTAAGATAGCGATAATTTGTAAATAGTTGAAGAGTTTCGTTATTGCGATTCGTATTCAAGAATGTAATGAACTCGAGTCTACTTAAACATTCCGAGAAACTATTCCTAGAAATTCAAGATAGGCATGTTAGTCTAAATAAACACGATTATCCAATTTTCTAAATTTCTAAATTCCTTTTGTGATAAGTATGTGCTTACCGTACGTATATGCAACTTAACTAGTTTTCTTACTTAACATAAATTCTTGAGAGGAGCCCGACAGTGAAATCTCACAGCAATAATAAATATACTACCTACGAACAAAACGGACCAACATTGTTTATTTTATGCCATTGGAAATCAATTGATTTCAACTAATAAGTGTTATAAAAACAATCATTAGATATAAAAATTAGTACAAGCCATGAAATGTTATTTAATGTAAAATACACTAGCGAAATTTGAGTTGGTTGAGTGACTATTTTCTGTAAGTTTTCAACTTTACGAATTGAAATTAAATGTGAAACCCGCTCGTTGTGAAATTATCGTCCTTTAAAATACATCAATGGTTTGAACAAAAAAAATCCAGCAGAGAGAAAGGCAAACCTTAACTAGTAAAAGGTTAATTGTAAGTGACAGAAAATCAATGTCAGTAATATAACAATGTTAAAAATAAAAATGTCGGAATAATGTGACTGGTATTTTAAATTGATACTTTATTATTATGTACCGGCTTGTTGTATGTGTGTGGGTTATACTTTTTTAACATTTCATTTCTATTGTATCTTGTACTGTATTTTAGACGTTTTATTTACCTTGTATTGATTTTTTTCTTTTGTTGCAGGACACAGATAAAAGGCCAAATCAATAGAATTTTGTGTAAGTATCTATCAACCATATTATTAAGCAAATGAACTTTTCGTAATCGATTTTAATGACTATTGCCCAAAAACCTCTCTCTCAATTACAGCTTAAATAGGGTTTAAAAACATATCGTTTAGTTTCGTGAAAACTCAATAAACGAAAAAAAAGGGGTTCTAATTTTATGATAATTACCTACTATTAAGGGTCTTATAATTGGTATATAGAGTCAATTGCTTCTCACCCCGTTAACGGACGGCATTCGAACCATCTAATTAACGAGGACTTAACGTATTCTCGCCGCAAATATTTACAAATTGGTTGAACTGAAATTTGTGAACAGACCGATAAGATCTCATACATTTTTAATCGCCACCTTAATCGATTTCGGAGAATTTTAATCGACATTGCAATTTAATTGAACTACAAATCTCCCTTCTTTTTTTTTAACCAAAACCGATCTTGAGACACGTATTGCCCCAATTTAATTTTCAATTAGCTGCCATCAAACCGGCAGCTAATTTGGCCGATAATACCTCGTTCCGCGACCTGAGGGGTTGAAATCGAATACGAGAGGGGTGAAAATTGCAATCAAAATGGTCGACAAAAAAACAGTGTTGCAATGCAAGTCGCGGGAGGGATGATGCGTGCTTGCGTGGGGTCCAAGGTTACCTAATTGTCGATCTATCCCCTTCGATACGGCTTAGTGGATATTCGCGATGACGTCACCTATCCATCATGGCTCCCAGATTGCATATGTACAGGATGTGTCATACGCATTACTCGGTTTTCTATCGCCATAACTTTAACTTTAATAATTTCTTACGCCATAAGCAAGATATTTGATACCATTTAAAAAGGCCAAACAAACTTGTTTATAGATAATAGTCATCTTTGCTTAAGAGAACAATATTATATGAAACATATTCAAATCTTTAAATTTATTTTGGCGAAGTTTTTTTTTGGATTATATAATACCCGTTCCGAATAGGGAGCTGCGCCCACCTCTAGCGCAGTTATCTGACACAACACAACGCGACGTTTCGAACAAACAATCCGTCCGGTCTCCCTGTGAAGGCAAAAACACAATTTACCAGGGATTACTACTTACTCTTCGGGGGGGACTCGCTCCACGAGTTAAGCTTTCGTTATTCGGCGGGGTGTTATCGGGGGGAAGAGAAAAAGGGATGAAAATGGAATGAAATTAGTGAACACACCACAGTGATATGTTAATGCTGTGGAGACTAAACATTACTTTAGACTTTCAGGCAATACGTGGATTTGCGGTTACAGGTCAAATTGATGACGCGCTTCACATAGGGGGGCTACATTTACTCATTGTACTTATTGTGGTATACAAATTTAGTGTACTTTTATAGAAGTAAAACATTTATTTTTTTAATGCAAGTTATTCCGGGTAAAAGCGTTTATTATATTGGAATAAAATTACGCGATCGTTTCGCGGCGATACCGATATCTGCGCTATTAAAAGGCGTTTTCAAGCGAAGGTCAGAAAGAGTTAATTTCTATTTTTTTCTGTTTTTAACAGTTCAACATGGGTGTCGATAAGTGTACGATATTCCAAAATTAAATGAGACTTTGAGCGTTTGATTTCGCTCGAGTCACACAGGAAGTGCAGTTTTCGATGAGATGGAGATGATTATTATTTGAGATGTTGGAAATTTATAGATTGAATAATTTATCGATCGACAAACGGAAATTATTTTAATTTCAGTCAATCTCCATATTTGACATTTAAAATTTTCGCTACGTTGCGGTTAGGGATATTAATTTATTTCCTTCCATTATCTATTTTTAGATTACGCAAATTTTTCCACAACGTTTACTAATTATGTTGAATTTTAAAACAAAAATCAAAATATTGATATTCACAGAATTATTAATGTATAGAATTTCTACCAATTTGAATAAATTGCACTATTCCTGTCTATCCGTTTTATTTTATTACCTATAGAATAGCGATATTTCTAAATTTATATTTGATTTTTTAATTGTACATTAAAAATACACACACTAAATTATAATCCCTGTTGTAATCTAATAGCATCCTGCTGGTTTTACTGCAACTTTATCAATATTACAATTCGCAGAATATAATGTGTAAATTATAAATTCCTCAGTAATCGTAATTCTTATAATTAATGAAGATAAAACTGCCAACCTAGCACATTCGATTATTTCAGCGTTTTATTCGTACACACGTAATATACAGAGGGTATTAATTTTATGACTACATTTATAACCAACATAAGATTGCGGGATAATGAAATTAAGTAATGTTGATAACGGTTAAGAACTCACTCTGTATAAACGGTATAGTTTAGAGGCAACACCCATTTATGCAGTTTGTTTAATTATGAGATTTGATTGGAGCAATAATTTTTGTCGTTATCGTTTAAATCTCGTTACGTAGCCGCAATTCACTATAGCGATTAAGAAGTTGAAAGGATCATTGACGGAAGCGAACCTTGAGAAAATCGTTGGAGCTTTTTTTTCGTCATTTTATTTGCTCCTAATGAGCGCTTACATTGCACTTTTCATCGGACTGTCATTAATTGTGCGAATGTATAATAATTGCGGTGAAAAAAAATGTTGAATTAATAGATCGTTAATTTTCTTTTATGGGCATACTACAATAATTAAACCAAAAATTTTTACACTTTTCTCTTGTTAAACAAATATACATTAGTATATTTATTTAATATGTATTAACGGATTGTTAGTATCTGTATTCGTTGGAAAAAATCTGTCTTTACACAACGCAAAACTCAATAATATTAACAAATACACTCCTATGGTCCCACCTTATTTATTGCAACATGAGTAATAATTCTTAGAATGGACAACGGCCCATATGGTCCTTCTATATTTATGGGAAACATTTATTATTTGATATGTATACGTCACTATAAGGAGCTAGAAAGGTTCGTTAGATATAGATTGTTATATACCTATAAATCTTAACTATAAACAGCTAAGACAAATTGTTCACATTTCACTATGACTTAAAATAACACGAAAAATACCCCATTAAAGTCTATCAAAGAGTAGTTACTTTCCTACCAATTCATTGCGGTATCACTGTCCCACCTCTATTAACGAGCACATATTTATCGTTCCTTAGCGCACATGGTTTATGGTTTCTCATAGATACACATACATGTGTGCGAGTGCGAGTATAACGTACCATATGTTTGTTTAAGCTTTTAGTGTTAAAACTTTCGAGAATTTCAGTCAGGTTTTGTCTGAGTTATATGTTATTATAACATGACCGCTGGAGGAATTTCGAGTGTGTTCGGGTTTTTAATAAAAGAACGATAATTTCGTTGTGACGTTGTTTCTTCTCATACATTTAGGTAATTGCTATTTTTGCTATAAACTTATACAATTTTACCTATTTATGTTTTATAAAAATAAGTAATATTTTGCGTTGAAAAACAGGAATAGGTAATAATCTACTTGGCATGATCTAAAAAAAAAATAATCGTAAAAAAAGATTCTACTTATCAATTACTTAAAACATAAACTTATCATCGAGCATATCATAAAAATCAATTTAATTAGTTAACGATACATACATTTTTTGAGAATTTTACGAGCCTTAATAATTATTTACTGATCTAATTTAGTTATAATCAACAGTAAGGAGTATCTACAACATTATTTAAATCAGTCCTGTTTATCCATCATTATTTCTGAGTAACGTAAATTAGAACTAGTTTGCACGAAGTTGGTACGTTATCTGCTATTTTAAAATGACGCCGAATCAGTTATAACACTATAAAATGTGTTTTCAATCAACATAAATATCCCAAGATGTGCAATTTACATAGTAAGTAACATCGGTCAATTACGGGAGCTTCGGGCGAAAATGCTGAAAGTAAATAGATTCGAGTATACGTATGTATCTTCGTAAACATCAACGTTTGATTAACCACATAAACTGCATTATTAAAAAAAATTAATCCGATGCAAAACGTTCATTACGAAATGAGATCTAGAAACGTTCCGACAGTTTAAATATAAATTAGAAAATTATGTTTTATTTTATCTCGATTAACTATATTTGATGTTAAACAATATACTGTATGTTCGGAGCGCTGCTCAATGCTTAGTAAGAGAAAATCAAGTACTGATTTAAACTAGATATTTCTTTCGCAATTTTCAATCGCAAAGGGACCGCACGCACGGTATATGCTATTGCATAAAGGATATATGTATAGCAGTTGGAATTTCTTGTAAAGATTTTTAATTCGATTATCTAGATAAATTTTCTTAATTAAATTGTAATATACCGCAATAAAATACATTGAGATCTAACTGAAATAAATTATGCTGTGATTGCTTTTTCTAATCTCTCGGGATCGGTGTCTGTGCGTTACTCTTTAGAAAAAGGTAGGATATTAGACAAGGCTGATCGTAAAATATCTATAAAATTGTGATTTACGATTCGATCGTTAGGCCGTTACAACATAAATTATGCGCTCAATAAGTTTTGGTTTGTAAGAAAATATAAAAATTAAAAATTTTCGACGTGGGTTTACTAGAAAAGGCATACTATTTTTAATATTAATTGATATTGGTTTAGAAAAAAATTGAATGACCTATCATAAAAATTGACTCTGCGGGGTATCGGAAGAAGTGTAATTAATTATTAAATTAAAGCGCAGTTAAATTTGATTACCTTACTATATCAATGATGACTCACAATGGAGCTTCATTAGAATATGCATGTTCAATTACCTTCATTGTCATCGATGTTTTATTTTACCCGATATCCATTTGACACTCTTCGCTTAAACAATGCACATGACTAAGCTTACAAGTAAATAAATATTTCAAAATTACCGTAATTACCGCAAAAACCGATAAGATAACGATAATAACAATGACATTATTTGTCATTTTGTTTCAATTCTTCACAACTCTCTTGTGAATCATTTTCGTGTCATAAATAAATAATTTGAAAAAAGTTTAATTGTAAGTATTATAAATTTCTACTTAATAAGGATTTAGTACACAATAATAGCTTGCTTTGATTTCTTTATAGTTACTTATTCAACAATTTTAATACCAAAGCTTATAATAAACGCCCTTAATAGTTTCCGAACTTGTTTATCTTACTTGTAAAGTTTACAGTAATTTGATTTTTTATGAATAATAGTTAACTGTTCGGTTTAACGTTGTACGTAAGATATTTACTATCCGTATAAACGAAGTCGTTAAGGTTTTATTGCAAAATTTAGATTACATTGTATGGTTTAAGTACGTTTAATATTCGCATTTGCCAGTTTAATTAATATTAGTTATAATTACGATCTAATAGACCGTCGAATGCCTATACGGGTTGTAAATTTTTAATTGCAGCAGATAAATTATCGACGATTTACTACCTCCGAGTAAATTTTGCGCAAACATGGAATTAATAAATTGTATGTATATTAATTTAAAACTGATTTGTTAAAGACTTTTATACTAATTTGCTCCTGCGCCAAAGCTTGTAAAATGTCTCGAATTAATTGTTGTTGTACTTCTTTCTGTTGCAATTATTTAATTGCATAATGACCTGAAAACGACGGCTGAAAAACATGAAATGTTCTTTTAAACTGATCAGAGGCCCAAATTCAATTAGTAACATATCCAAATTTAGCTTCGAAGGATTCGACGGACTGCTTCAAACGGAAACTATAATTATTTCTGTTCGACAATTATTTAACATTTGGGTCTAATTAAAAGTGCGATTTAACGTTCGTTTAAACTAATTTCATTAATTAGCGAATCGCTATAACAATTAAGTTTGCTTTCCAAACCGTTTTATATCCTTATTTTTTATTTATGAAATCGATATTCAATGATATGATTATTCAGTTCTTTCGGTATTTTCTTTCACCAAAATCGTTTAAAACTTTAATGAGTTTCTCACTGTAATTGCTTATTATACCTACCAAAGATAAAAGTTTATATACCTATTTTCTTTTTTTTAATAACTAAAAAAACTATAAATACGAGGTACGGTAAATACTAATTATACTTCGAGTTGTAAAAGTTTTACTTGAACGTTTAATCATAGTTAACAGACTCTCTAGTGTGAATTACACCTAATAAAAGATTCTTAGGCAAACGAAAAACATTTTAAAGTCGATAAATCGCATCGATAATTTATCAAAAAGTCCTCATTTTTCGCTACCTACGAGTCTACGAGTCAATGCCATATCCGACACGATGTTGGCGGCGTTTAGAGAGGGCTTTTGTGTGCAACAGGCACGATTTCTTTCGGCATCAAAATGCCGTTCACGTGTCCCTAACCATTTAAGAAACGAATCTTCTTCTTTCTTTGGAAGCAGCAGTCGTTCAATGGGAATATTAATGTCGAAAATATTAGAATAAAAATGGTTTGTTATGTACGTGGTATGTGGTATTTAATTTGTACATTTTTATAAACATAATGCTACACTTTATTCATACTAATAGCAGTATTACGGGACATTTCTGTACGTTTTTTTAGATCATCGAACTTTTCAACGCGAATCCACAAAACTCAAGACAATATCAACAAGTGAAATTAATGTGTTAAGTACAGAGAGTGTATTAATAGTACGCGAAGGATATTTATACTCGGAAAATTCGCTGAGTCAGTAAACTTGTTGCTGAGCCTGCATAAGATTGTAATTAAAAAATAGCATTTCAATTAGTGCCTATTAAGCATATAATTATAATTAATGGTTGATGATTAGACTGAAAGATATAAAATCTTAATAACAGACTCTGTGTATGTACTATAGTTTCCAGAAGTAGATAGGTATTAATTAGTATTTCCTTAAAACAATTCTAATGCTGCGGTTGGCATACGAATAATATTATTTTTATAATAAATTATATTGTTTACCATACCTATTATATCTATAATTTGAGGCCTACATAAGAAATCATTGTCGAAAGCAAACAAAACTGACTCGAAAACTCCCAACAAATTTTAAGCATTGTATGGAAATAATTTGCGACAATTTTCGACAAATTTACGCTTCTAAAAAAATCTTACATTTCTTACGAGCACTGTATTATAATTTTCGAATAAATAATTAAAGCTTTCCGGATATAATATATTCAATTTCCATGGATCAAATCAAAGCAAATTACTGCTAGGTTCGATAACTATTTTCTGCAATTTGCGCTCACAACTTGATATTAATGCATCTAGTCGTAATAAATTCCCTATTCATTTACCAGAGGATGAACGCAATCCTTTGAAATTATTATACACGCGTACAAATACACCGGTAAGTAATTTAGATTAACAAATTTAGATTAATCGTCCATTAATTAAATGAATTGTTGATTTTACTCTCACTTTCTTTATTTAACATGCAGTTATTTATTTTTTGTTACACAAATACTGTTCATTACACCTAAGGTGGAAACGACTCGATAATTTGTCACTATTTTTCGAACGTATCGTGACGCGACGAACCTTGAATGAGTTTCGCTTCGAGATTAATGAATAAGTAAGTATATCGAAATGACAGAATTGATCGATGCAGTTTTACACCTACATTAACCTAATGATCGTTGCGTTATTATTGTTAGATCATTTCGTCTTTCATAATACTTCCACGGTAATCGAAAGCCATTGTTTCTGGAGCTCCTACATAAGAGAGAAAAAAACCGCTCGCCCATCAGGAGAGTATTTTGAATAAATTATAGTAATTACTAATGGTAATTATTCTGCTTACTCGATTCTATCGGACTTTGTTGTAACGCCTTAAGACATTGTTGTTCAGTTGTTAATCTGCTGCCAATGTCAGATGGAATTAAGTGAATCGAGATTAGTCGATTTTATACCGAATTGTTGTAACATAAACAAAACTGCAAATTTATTAAATTATTATCGCAGAAGTAATCGACGTTTCCGTTTAATTATCAGTACCTATAAAGTCATTCACTGCCAGCTTGATTGACATATTCAATATCCAATTAAATTGAACAGTGTATTTGTCGAAAATAAATTTATTAAACGTACTTTATATGCATTTTGATACACCTGTAATTTTTTTCCCACGACGCGGCGCCGCTATCCTTTATACACCAGTCCTATTATCCTAACGAGATGAAATACTTGAGATTTTATTTGCCACATATTTCCATATAGAGGAAGAACAGCTTTCCATTAAATTGGCCATCGAAGTACCTTCGGCCCAATTCGAACGCCAACAGTTCCACATTACAATAAAATAAATTGAAACAAGTCAAATAAGCGATGATGAAAAAATTAACGCCTTCAACGGCATCGTATAGACACTTTATTGATTAGTTTAAAAACGCATGATAATTTTAATTAGTTTCTAAATTGGTTTATTGGACGTTTTCAGATGATCTATCTACATTCTATCTACATCTGAAACGCCCAAGCAGAAGCAGAAAGAGCCGATGAATTTTCTGGGTAGACCACTAGCGAGGTATAGAGTTCCTACGTGATTGTTATATTGTAGGAACTTCATACCGTGCTCTTGGATGTACCGTTTTAACGTCGGACGTGTCGGCAAAACGAAGATAAGCCCGTTTTGACAGTCAGCCGAAGAAGCAGGAAGATAATTTTCAATAATCCGTTTTATTTATTGCCAAGCCGATGTTTTAAATTAAATTGAATAATTTGAATAAAATGTTTATTAAAAAATCCTGGCACACCTGTAACTTGTCTAAGCATATACTACACGTGTAATAAATTGTTGTTAATAATAGTTAAACTGATAAAGAAGACACTTCTAAGAAACTGGAATGTATGTATGTAGGTTTAAGAGTTCGTTGGTTTTTTTTACTGTTTTATTAACCGAAAGCACCGAAATGTGCAATAATTACCTAATTTATTGGATAATTCTATGCTATAAAAATACGTTGTAAATTGCTCGTTATTTTTATAAGTGCAAGAAAAATCGTTCCTTGCATAAGTCGTTTGTTCCATTAATCACTTTAACCTTTTCGAATTCAAACGACTGAAAATTGAATCATTTTACTTGTTGCATATAGTTGCACCGTTCAAATATGAATTTAATGGTTTTCTCGACGAGGCCTTATTGATTCGGCATCGGTTAGATAGCGATTTGTTTTTAAAGTTTACGTTGCTTGTAGTACATTGATTTAATAAAAGTTTATTAAAGACACGATGCAATTTTAATTTAACAAGTCTATGGATCAGAGACTTGAGTAATTCTGAACCCTTACCATTGTGCATTTAGCATATTCAGTCGTGAATCACTATTGATATTATTAACTTGTCGTCCATAAACTAAGAGACAATAGAATTCGATGGACAATTAACCTTAAATTAAACGTAGGATTTAATATAAATTCGATTGCAATAATTTAATTGCGACCGCAAGTGAGGATATAAACTTGAAGCTTAAAGTGGGCAATATTGCAGTCGAAATCAACATGTTTATTGCACGTTGTGCGGTATTAGTGAACAAGTTTTAATAAGTTATTGTTATTGGACGCTTTGCAGGAAATTAAATTGGATGGATTTTTTATGCTAACGCCCGTTTTCTGTAAATAACAGTAGTTGTTTACGACTGCACGAAAGCGTTTAGAACGTTAATGCCACTCCACTTTGCATCCTGAAAATACCCTTAGGTTTAGAAAAGACATGTTCATTTCTTCTCCGGTCTGCGATCTGTTTTGGTTTTCCATATATTTGTACGTTGCGATTTTAAATTCTGATAGTTGGAAGTGTGAATTGCTCCTCATGAATAAATATTGCCTATTTCGAACGGAAAATATACAATAAGTGTCTTTTAAATTTCACACCTACCTACTAGTAGGATAACAATAACTGGTTGGATTTCAATTATTGCAAGTGAATGATAAATACTTAGTAGCAAATAAACGGTGCCTTGTGTCGATAAAGCTATTTAAATACAAGTGGGATGGCGTAAACGCAAGAGTGTTTCATGTGGAATAGCTAAACTTACAAATAAAGACATTTAAATATTTACAATACACTCTTATTATTATTAAAACGATTTTTCTATTATATCATCTGCGGGAAATTACTGCTTGCGCAGGTTATGCATGCATTACGTTCGAACCGCTGCGTTATAAACCGATTGAAGAAAGATGAAAACAAGCTTTTACATGAGCTAAGCATATATCTGTTTCTCTCGCTGTGAGCAAGCCGTAAGTGATCTCACATAAGGTATAATGTGACACGTAAACTGTGGGCTGATCGGGCAAAGATTAATCTGATGAATTAATCGGAATAATAAAAATTATTGTAAATTAATTTAAATGCATTCATCTAATTCATACATTGAAAGATTTGAATTATTCATGATATGCAATTTCATAATTATTGTTCTGCTTTCAATACACTACTGCAAAAAATAAATTGTATATCTAATAAAAATGCATTTTTAATGTTATCTGCTAAATATTTGTACCTACTGTTTACATATTCATGAGTTTGAATGAGTATTTACTTAAAGGAAACTTTTTCTGTGTTCGTTCGGCGGTATTTTCCTGCTTGAACTTTTTTGCCATTAAATACACCAACTTAATTAAGAGCTATCGCCATTATACATATCCTTAATATCAGTATCCCGGTGTAACAGAGAGTTAACAACTCTTATCTTCTTTTAATGATTTAATTACCGGACAATATCCTGGTGTAATAAATTGCCTTGCAAGATCTCCACAACAATGCCTGATATCCTAAATGAATCTCTTCGGAACTGGGGTGCTTATTATTTAATTATACAAAATTGAGTTTAGGAGAAAAATGCTCGAAACATGCAAGATTTTTAAATGATGATTAATTTTAGCAGGAATGTATCTTGGTTAAATTATTTAGGTGTATAAATGAACTGATATTTTAAAGTCCTTTAATTTTGTGGTTGATATTTCCGTAATTAAATGGTTCATATACATGATTTATAATAGCATCTATATTGTAGGTACATTTAATAGGCTCTAATTAATTTCGTAAAATTATTTATCAACGTTCTTTCCACTACGTAACTTCAATATACAAACACAATTTCTTTTCTATAATACATGTATACTGCATTTGTATGTTAATTTTTTATTTAATTATATCGAATTACAAACGCTTATTATTACAGAACTGTATAATTACTTGCAGATATAGGCGGGGCATGATATGCATTTACACATATATGGGCATTACTTATTCGTGCCTACCTACGAATTATATATGGGAATATTCAATATGGCTTCCGAGATCTTTACGGGTCAATTCAAAACTGTAATTGTTAAAATTCTTCGCCGCAATGTACATACTCGTATAATGAATGTAATTTATCGTACCACCATGGCAGTTATCAGACCACAATCGAGAAGCTTTCGAATCCTGGTAGCTTATAGGCGCAAAGCGGAGTGTCCTAATAACCCTCTATTGGGTATAGCAAGGACCATCATTCAATTATCGTAACCGAACGAAATAATCTCGAAAAGATCGCATCAATTAAACTTACAATGTCACAATATTGAGTCGCATATATGAAACTGTTGACTAAGTGAAGGGTTTCGGCATACACTTTACACAATCTTTCCGTAACCACTTCGAATGTAGGCATCTATTCCAAACTAAACCATCAACGTCTTGAGCAATAAATAGCGAGAGGATTTATTAGTTGCATCTGGAAACTGCGTTTAGCGAAAACCATAACTGTTGTAATAGGCTTGTTGTTGAAATTTTAACCTAATTGTTCATTTATGTCTGTTTATTTACCGTGTTCCATAAATATTATTGTTTTCCTTTCAATGCATTTACCTATACATTGTTTTACTACCACATGTTTTGTACTTCCAATATTCTTTCTAAAGCCAGTTTGCTTTGAAATGCAAATGAACTGATAGATATTTTTAATGGTATCTTCTAATAATAAATAACAAATGTACTCGTTCACCGGTATGTACGAAGTATTTCCTTACACTAATAACAGAAATTTCGACAATAACATACAAACAATAATAAAAATTGTACAAATGATAATAATAATGTCGACAACGTTTTCAGAAGGGTACTTAAAGCCCGGACCCCTAGCCGTTAAAAGCGAAACAGTTTAAAAAAGACCACTTATGTTAGCTATAAAAAATTGAAAATAATAAAGAAAACACGAAAGCACCTACTGTAGACAAAGAAATTGTTGAAGGAAGTAGGAATAACGTAGAGCTCATAAACGCTTTTAGCTACCAGTGTCGTAACTCGTTGTCTTACACTAAAACTTCCTAACAATGTAAAGAGAAAATAGATAAACCATAAAATCATGCATATGTTCTTAAACAAGTGTTATACATATTACACAAAAATCTTTTTCATCAGAACTTGCTTATTTATTAAAGCTTAATTATTAATTATTAAATCTTAATTATTAAATCTTAATTATTAATTATTAATTATTAAATCTTAATTATTAATTATTAATTATTAAATCTTAATTATTAATTATTAATTATTAAATCTTAATTATTAAAGATATTTAAAGTTACATTATTACTGGAAGTAGACTTTTTATAGGCAACAATTTTCGGCTACCCCATTTTTTTTTCTATTTGACTCAATACATGTACCGGTGGTTAATATGGTAATAAATTTCGCTATTGTTCATCGAATTAGCTAAAATATTCAAATGAACAGATGTATGTGCCTATACTTCTCACGCTTGTCTATACAGAAATATCTCTTCCAAAGATCTCCTCTTTGATCAAAAATCAAAAAAAAATTATATAGAACAGTTGTTAATGTTCGACTTAAAATTAATAAATTTAAATGCGACGAGCACAATTGTAGTTACGTGGGGTGGAGTGAGTTTTTTTCTACGCGCTTTCTATTGGTTTTTTTAATAACGGGGACGTTAAGTCGACAAAAAATTAGACAAAAAAACAAGCGTTAAAAAAAATCTTGTGAAGGGTGGCTGGCTATTGTTTTACACCGTTCATTGTTTAAATACGATAGCGGGGGGAAGTTTTTGTGATATTCTTCAAGCTTATTCATTAAAATTAAATGCATAACCAAATACGAGTAGAAACCGCTTTTGTGCATGCAGCTGGATCCGCGTGCACTTCGCGAAAGGGTGTCAAATGTGGTCAAGATCCAACGCTATAACCCTTCAACAAATTTACAAACAACTCGCATAAATAACATACCTCATTAAACAAATGGTTGGCGAATTTCCGCATTATTAGAGTTTATAAATTTGTCTTGGAGCTACAAAAATCCAGCTAATAAATAATCGAAATGGAACCTATTGAATCGTGCACGGCGTACGAAATAAACATTCGCGCCACATTACTAATTACATTTCGCTTGATTTGAAATTATATACAGATTTATGTAAATTTATTGTAAATCGCTTGAGCGAACACTATAAATCGCTCTTGCAGCAATTTAATTTAAAGATTAAGAAATTTGTTTCCAGTATTTATTATCCCACGTAAAAAACCGAACAATCGCTTCAATGTTTAAAATGCCCTTTGTTCTATCGCAACAACCAGTAGCTACCAAACACATCAACGGGCTTTTAAAATATCTATTTTATATTATTTATTCATGAAGTGCGTTTTTACAGCCAAGGTGATTTCGCGCAGCCTTGCCCAGCCTTGCGAATTATTCCAATCAATATCTTTAGACATGTTAACAATTTTTTAAGAAAATCGTTTACAATAATTAAGCAACTTGTTATATATT